TATTATTATTATATTATTATTAATTATTATTGTACAAAGCACCTCAAATGGGTGGCTTTTGAAAATCAGTTGACAAAGCACTACTCTAATCATCGTCAACTATAATATCATTTGTAAAAAATTAATTTAAGGGTTAGCTCTAGTTGAAGAAGTTCTCAACTTAAAGTCTCTTTCAAATCGATCAGATTCCTCTGAATTCATAGCAAAATTTCTTCGGAGAGACACAACTTCTGTGCCTTCTTGAACCACCAGACCATCTCGATAGAGATAAATATTCGTTGTACATATTTTTGATGCGTTTTAATTAATTTATTCATGAAMAAATCGGATATTCCATTCTACCATGAGGGGATGCGAAGATATGACTATTGTAGCAGAATTTGATACTAAAATGGATAAAAATTCATTTAGACAATAAAATCTAATTTATCATTCTAAGGTATATGTATATGGCGATAATTAAAGAGTTGTTGTTTCTTCAATTAAACTATAATTTTATACACACACACACACATTTTATATAAAATATATGTATATATTTTCTCAGTCATGAACATATACGAATATAACATTTTTTTCAAGATCTTTTAATGAACGAGCAATACCTGGAAATTTGACTTCTGATATAATATACATATAGACTTAATTTCCTTCATCTGAATTCTGTCTGCTCCGATATAATAAGTTTAGATCAAATATTAACATCTTGAACCATTGTATAAACCTACAAAATCAAATTCTATCATTTTAACCCATACATACGAAGGCGAAAGCTTGTAGAATGACAGAAATTAAATTAAAAATGCAATAGAATAAGGGAAGACTCAGGGCAAAAGCCGAGGCAGTTCGTTATGGTTTCCTAAATATTCTTCTACCAAAAAGGGCAAAAACCTTAGAAAAGGTACGAGTGTGTTGCCGTGTTATGCTATCCAATTTATTATTTTAAGTACGTTTYTGTTAAATTTTCAAATATATTTCGATTATTAAAATTCATAAAGATTAAATTTACCTAGTTTTGATTAAAATTGTATTTATTGTATCAAAATATTGGTAAATCTTTTCTATTTTATTAAAAATATTTGAAGAATCTATCTATTTTTGTTTAAATTATAACAAATAGTTTTGTTTAGTATTGTATATTTTATATGTGTGAAAATAGGCCACCAAGATCACTATTTTAGTTGCTAAATTATCAGCACCCGCGCCCTTAGTTCTGCTTTCTTCAGACTGGATAAGGAAGTGAAGCAAATGAGTTTGGCAGTGAACGAGAGCAAGACGAAATGTCATTAAACAAACAGTCGTCGCATTCGCGACTAATCTCCCWCGTCATAGTTGACAGTCATAACTTCTAAGTTGTAGATATTTTCGTCTATCTTGGAAACARCAATAACGTTAGTCTCGAAATCCAACGCAGAGCAACTCTTGCCAACAGGTGTTACTTCGGACTGAGTAGGCAATTGAAAAGTATAGTCTCTCGACGCACAAAATTAAAACTCTCTAAGTCACTCATTATTCCCGTCCATGCATATGGTTGCATGGACGATGACAACAGCTGATAAGTTGACGTTGCGAGTTTTCGAGAGAAAGGTTCTGCAAAAGATGTAAGGTCCTATGCGCGTCGTCCACGGCGAATATCGCATTCGATGGAACGACACAGCGGCTGCGCTGGCCAGCTCATGCCGTACGTATGGACGAAAAGATTACAGGTCTGAAAGTATTCGACACAATAATCGCCGGGAGAAGCAGAGGAAGACCTCCACTCCGTTGAAAAAACCAGGAGGAGAAGAACTTGGCTTCTCTTGGTATCTCCTATTGGCGCCACCTTGCGAAAAGAAGAAAACTATAATCGCGTAAGTAGTATCTACGCCAGTAAAGAAGTAAAGAAGAAGTTTCAATTAAAATCTCGAAAAACTATTATTTTGTGACATCTGCCTTTAATGAAAAATGTTATAAAAAAGTTAATTTTGAAGCGCTCTTACACTGTAAAAGTTGGTCATCCCTTTATCCCTGTGTATACTGAAGACTAATAATTATTTCGATTTAATATTTGACACAGATGTCACAGACAGTCATACTAACGTCATAAATATCTTACAATTTTTTTCCCATTAAAAAGTTGTGAATTAAAGTATTAAAAGCAGTTGTAGCAGTAGTTAAATAGAAGTTTCATATTTTATAACTATTTCGATTTTATTCAGGAAGTTCTATATGTAAACTGTTACTAAAAAATTGTTCTTTACTGTAAATGTGTTATAATTCACACATTTTACAAGAATATAACTGTAAAATTTACTAATACAAAACCATTATACTCTGTTGCGAGGGTTTAAATATATATACTTATATAAATATAATATATATGTATATATGTAGATAATTCAATATTTCGAGTAATAAAATAAAATACTCGTATTACTTAAATTTTGCCAATTCTGAGAATTGGAAATTGAAGCGACGTCAATTAAGAATGCGCATAAAAGTATAAACTGTATAAAGGGATTTGAACTTTAAAGTATTGGCATCCGCCAATAAATTATTGCGTCTGGTCTTGAAGTTAAATTTTAGGCCTCAATTGGTCATTGGCATTGCTTTGAATTATGCACATTCAGTAGAATTTTTTCAACTAATGAAACAATTACAAAAAAATTTAATGTAATTTCCGAACAAATCAATGGAGTAAAGCTTAATTAATTTTACCTGTGTATATAATGTCGTTTTTGTATACATACATATATGCATTTACTTTTAAAATATAATAGCGTTTATATATAGCAGAACCGATTTGGCTGAAAATTAGTGATAAGGTGGCTTGGAACATCGGGACGGGCATATTCWACTTTCTATCGTTTCATGTTAAATTCACAACAATTCATAAATAAAAAAAGCATGTGTTCAATATTCATGTAAGAATCATTTGAAAATTTGTTTCTTTAAAAATACAAAATAAAATCACACAGTTATTGGCAGGGTACAGYAGTTTTTGTTTACATATACATATGTACATATATATGAATTATAGTGATAGTCGTAATTGAATAAGAAAAGGTTAAATCATAATCGTCTCAGTGTGACCCTCCGAAAAATCACTGATTTTCGCAATTTTTTTAAATGTTAGAATTAACTAATCAATCCGATTGTTTTTTTTATAAATAAATACGTTCAGGACGAATACAAAATGATTTCTTATGTTTATTTATTGGGTTACAATATTTAAGTAAATGGTTAAAATGACACGTAAAAAACAAAGAAACCTGTACGATGTCAATTTTGGTCTTAAGCAAAAATTTCAAAAATATTATTAAGCTGTATAAAATTTGACGAAATGGCGGCGGTTTGAACAAAAAGTATCGAATTTTGACCTTTTTCCGACAGTTTTTCGTAGACCAAACTACTAAGATTTCACAAAAAAAAAAAAGCTTCCACAGCGCGATCTCGAATTACGTTAAAATTTTTCTCTCCAAATTGAAATTAGATATCTTCAAAACTCTTCCGTTGGGAGTGGAAACCGTTTTGAAAACCACCAGTCTGAAAAAAAAAACAGTTTAAATATTGGAGTCGTTCCCTTTCTACAAGAAACTCTGTAGCGACCGTAATAATTTGAATTTCGATTTCAAATTTGAAAGAACGATTTCTATAGTGCAGTGTATGTAAAAAAAAATCTAATTCGCGAAAATTTCACACTGGCACGATCCCTCAAGTGATTTACAAAGTCAACAAAATATGTAAATTACCAATATAATTGTTCTTATTATATTATGTTATATTATACATTTTACGTTACTTCGGTAAAAAATCAACTATAGATAATGGTTTCCAAATATTCGATACCTACGATCTTGAATAGTTTTGGTTATAATAAGACAATTTATAAAGTTATAAGGTGGCATTTTTCATGCAAAATTTCATACCGTTATAGAATGCTTCTTGATTTGTACACTGGAATGTGAAATAATCAAATGGAATTTAAAATTATATTAGAAGAGAACTAGGCGTCGTTGTAGCCCGATTTCGCAGACGAAAGTCATAATATACTTGGTTTCAATCAGTGAAGCAAGTAACCAGATAAGTGATTTCACTTAAAAGTGGGCGTTTAAATAGGACCCTTTTATAGGACTTTTTAACAGTACCGTTATATCGGGAAAGACAGGTGTTGTCTTCCGATTTCATCCATTTTCATAGTGCCTATAGGGGTGCTCTAAAGGGACCCAAGACCCCAACAATGAATAAAGGTTTGGAAACATTTGAAGGTATATCTTAGTTTTTGTTCCTGGCACACCGGAAAAGTCATAGTAAAATATTTACTGAAGGTATTGATGCAATCGGTGTCGGTGATCTGTCCTGGCAATACGCCAACTATCACAAAAAAAGCTTTCTAATGATGGTGATAATATTCATAACAATCTATTTATTCTTTCAATAGAGTGAAGATGATACGATATTAAAAAAAAATCAAAATTTTTATTATCTTAAAGTTCGCTTTAACATGGCAACGCTGCGATTTTTACTTTAAATGTTTTGGGAAGTAGTTTGTAATTTATTACAATTGTACTCTTTGTCAAGTATTTATTTAGATCTGTGAATAAATACCTAAAACGCATACCCTTTAGTTAAACATGGGTTTTCACCATAGAAGCCCATTGGGTTTTACATGTGTGAAAGCTTTTGCTTGTGCTCTCTGGTAGATGCATACTGTTTTTTGTTTACATTTACCTATCATTAATGACAACATCGCCAAGACAATACTTTTCAGTATCAGCTGGTGAGTTTTCACTCAATGCAACGTGTAATACATTCTTACTTACTATATATTTAAATATACGGATGTTGATATGAGTGTATGAATTCCTGCAAAAGTGTATAAATTCAGTGTGAGGTATGTTTGCCTCTCTAAAAACTCAAACTTGTACTTTTACAAATTGCTTTTATTTAGTATTCTTCGTTTGACTACAGCGGTGCTATGTTGGTTTGATTTGCGCTCGCTGTATAATTTTGTGTGTCAGTTGAACAGTTTTTTGTCGAATAAATTAAAACTAACGGCGTGTGAGATATAAGTACAACGAAGAATATGCATTCTGAATTGCAAACCATCTTTGAAGAATAGAACACAGTTTATTATTATATGTAATAAGCTGGAATATAATCGATTATTTGGCAACAACGAATACCAATTTATCAATTGTGTGATATTATTCATATTGCCGGTAAATACTGTAAAAAATTATACCATATAACATAATTTCCGTTTCTTCCTTAACAATTTGTAAAGCCGCATATTCATKGGTTTTATATTGTTGACATATGTATGTATGTATGTACGTTGCTGCATCCGGAATCAAAATTTGTTACGGTGAAGTAAAAATCGTAAAAAGTTTTATTAAAAAATCGTCTAAGTACCATAAGTACTATTGAATAATTAAGAGTATTTAGTGTAATATACATTCAAAATAAATCAATGAAAAGTGAATTTAATATGATACTAAAATACAAAGTTAAAGTTATTAAAAAAACATTATATTATGTTATTATGCTATTTTTAAAAATTAATATTTTGAAAAAACATTGATATAAGGTTAGGTAGGCGTACTTCTGTACAAAGTGACAAACATTAGAAGTTAAAATAKTTAACCATAAGATATTAGACAATGCGGCAATGAAATCAATTTTAGGTCATCAATGATATCCGTAATTATATTTTCTTTGATATTATACTTAAAAAATATAAGTTATGAGAATAAAATAAAAAACCTATTGCTAATACAATATGTTATTTATTCCTAAGTATGTTTTCCTTTTAATTTTGATAAAGATTATATAGTATTTCTTGAATATTATTAACCAAACGCCCTATGTTGTTGTACAAAGCWTTTTATTAAAGTATTCCTATGTTTAACCGGCTAGACATGAGCGTAAAATAGTAAATATTATAATTAGGTTTTCTGTTAAGTCAATATTTAAGATTTCATTACATATTTATTGCATTCATATACGAATYGCAGAATATTACATAAACTTCTTCCAATCATTCCAATATATCGTAAAGTAATAATTTAAGTGTTCATTACATTTATATAGTAATTTACTTTTTATCATTATAGATACTGGGAAATCTATTCGTAAATTATGGGCGAAAATCAACTTCTTAGCGAATCAAACAGTTCCAAAGGACTTATAGTTATTACTTCTAACGGAATTACTAATGATAGTGACGCACATATCAACAGAGTGGCTATAAAACCAGCGCTATCCGCGGAACACATTGCAGCACCCTGTTGTCGAGACATTCACGGGAATGAACCCCCAGATGGCGGTATGCGAGCGTGGCTAGTTATGACTAGTGCCTTTATATGTAATGGAGTTATATTTGGAATAATTAATACATATGGGATCTTATATTCCTTGTTGACGGATCGACTTACCCAGGCGGGCGACAATGAAGCTTCTAGCAAAGCTGGTATGTTTTTTTTATTGTACTGCCGATTTCCAAACAGTGAAACCTTACAAATGAATACCTCGCTCTAAAACTTCACATTTAACTAAAAAATTTTGCTTTTGTAGTGCGATTGCTTTAAATATTATCAACTCATAAGTTTATCTTAGAATCTGCATAGTGCTGGCTTAAACTGAATAGTTGTAATGATATTATTCGGTATAGATGGTAGAAATACTTGACAGCCTATATATTCTCAGCGGATGGATGTTCGAAAATTATAACATTTCCTGATTACCACCTACAAAGTGTAAAATAGTAAAAATATTAATATTTTCATTGATTTATCTTATATGTATATGTATAAGAATTCAATGAATAAAATGCAATAGGTTAATGAGATACGAGCGAAGTATATTGCAATAATATATAATACAATAAAATATACATAATACATACATAAATATAATACAATAAAATATCAAGGATTCAGTTCCAGTTTTAAGCATTAAAGTGGTTAATTTTTGCACCAAGCGAACTTACGAGAGTCATGTGTTTTTTTAATTTGAAAACTCATTTGATGTTCAATTGTTAGTGCAGTCTAGTTATATACTCATAATACATATAGCAAAGTTTGAAACGGTGTTTTTTAAGTGAAGTTGTGTTTAAAATAATATATTAAAATATATATATATTAAAATTGCCAATTTATTAATCCTTTACGTGAACACTGAGATCATGATTGGAGGGAGATATACAAGTAAATTTATCTTTGACTTTTTTAGGATGCGCTTGCATTTATCAACGAAGTAAAATCGTTACACATCCGCTACATAACAAGTATAAGTAAATTTCACATGTAATCCACAATTTTTTGTTGAACTCATAATCTACATTAAAGAATTTTATACCCTTAAAGCATGGCGGATTTTTTAATTCCCAATAATAAGTATGTGGTAGACATTCTGTCTATTGATTTTTATCATAAATCTTTTAGCTCCGGACTAGGGAGTCATACATAAAAATCAAAATAAAACTCTTTATAATATAGTAAGATTGAAAACGCAAAAAAAAAAAGAGTTAAAGACGTGGAAATTATGGGCTTCTAAAGAGGAATTCGTTATAAGGAGATCAAAACATATTGAAAATTGAATGAAATTAGAKTATTCTATCAATAAATTCGTAATGAATAATATAATAATAGAGGTTTATCCATTTCGAGGTTATCCATTTTTTTAAAGAAAAAACACGGTACTTTAAAACTTAATGGGGAATGTTTATTATCATTCGAAAGAAAATTTTTTGGCATTTATTTTTTGATGGTCCATTCTCAGCTACGGCTGGTTTATATTCTTCACTGCGTACCGCACGCGGTGGAAGATGGGTGGAGCTGTTGCGAATAGTACGCTTAGTAAACGGATTATGTTGACTATAAATTGATCGAAGTGCGCGAAACGCTTCTTTAAAGAACGTGAATTTTCGTAATAAAGTTGTACGATTTGCAAACGTTATGCAGGCATAAGTCTTTGATTCGTCGAAAAAAGTTATTGAAAAAAGTACCTCTACTTGAATCACCCGTTAGACATACATATATATATACATATTATGTAGGTCTGGAATAATACTTCAAGAGTAAATTATATTAATAACAAAATATCGATTCTCTATTTAAACCTATGAATTATTGTACCAAGTGCGCGTGCACTCAAGTTACAACATCACGCTCTTCAATTAAACGAGAACATATCAATTGCCAATTACGATTATTTGCTCGAATTGCATTAATTGCTATTATGGTCAAAGAATGGTCAAGCRCACACTTATACAAAGGCGCGAGTACTTGAAGTCGAAAACACTGCAAGTTAAACGACATTGAAAAGTGCTACACATGTAAGTAGCGGAAGTGAAGTGCTTGTCATTCCATTTAATCATACGCCTATAAAAGCAAAATTTACACAATCACTCCACATTCAATTAGGTACCAAATGCCGAGAACTGTCATTGATATTCTGCTTGATGCTCTGCTAAAAAATAAATGTTCTTTTCAAGAGAAATGCTTTCGTAGACATTATTGACCATGAACATTCGCGTATAGCTACATTTGGAATTTATAATACARCGTCACTAGTCAGAAAGTCCAAAGGCCCATGAGAACGAAGTAATTGGGCAATGGAGTTAAGTGGTTATCAGCACAACTTGATCGACCTCGCTTCTTTAAATAGCAGGCAGACTTTTTAAATGTCTGTAATTAAACAAAACGGAATATGTTTTCAAAATGTTTGTACATATTTTTTTTAGTTTTACTTGATATAAGTTTCTATAAGTTTATTATAATTTCGACAACAATTACTAGCACAACAATCATCTCATTGTGATTCCATTTGTCTATTTATATTTTTATAAATTGACAGACATAACCTTTATTCTTATGAATCGTTGCAAAGCTCTAATTAAGTAATTAATATCCAGACCGAATAACCAAAGAAAATCAAAAACTAAAAACTACGAGGATGTCATGAAACGTATTATTTCTGTCGATGAGTCTTGGATATATGCTTGGTGTGGTGATCCGAAACCGAAAAACCCACGTCAAAGCAGATCAAGAATCAATATTATGTTGACAGTTTTCTTCGGTTATCGAGGTGTGGTGCACACCGACTTCCTTTCGACCGGCCAAAATCTCAAAAAGGAAAACCATTTAAGTGTTATACGTCGTTTGCGCGAAGCTATTCGTAACAAGTACTCATGCAAATTGCAAAAATTATAACAGGGAAAATACCTTAAGATGATATTGGCTGATATATTCAGCATAAAGTCAGTATTGTCCGGATTAGAGAAGCATTATCGCTGAATTTCAATCATATATTTCCCACATTGACCGATATTTTCGGTCAAAAGTCAAATATAGATACTGGGGCCCACATATTCGGTACTTGGGGTCTTGAACAGTTTTCGTTGGATTTGCACAACTTTTGATCAAAAGGTACCATACTTTAAGGGAATTATTATTGCCAAATTTTATTCATATTAATTAATTCTTGATTTGTGTACTGGAAAGTGAAAGAATCAAATGGAATTTTAAATTGTGTTACATGAGAAGCAGGCGTGGTTGTTTTTTGTCCGATTTTTTATATTTTCACAATGTAATATGGGAATGTTCTAAAATGACACGTACTAAATTTAGTCGAAATCGGTTGGTCGGGCCCCGAGATATGGGATACCACCCTCATTTTCATTTTCTCAACGCGATCTCATGAAGCCTTCTAATACCGTCTTGGGATTTAATGTCTCTGGCGTAATTATTTATGGATGTAGTGAGCGGGGTCATCCTCCTATTTCATCCATTTTCACACTGTCGGTAGAAGTTCTTATAAGATTTGTACGCAGCTAATTTGGTTGTTGCAGCTTTAGGAGTTTAGGAGATATGTACATTTAACATAAACACATCTTTTTAAAATTTTTTRTCCGTAGGTGCCTTTGCTACTGCGATGCCTGTGGCGGCGGTGCGGTTACGCCCATCTACGAGCTCCAAATTTTCTTGTACCAAGGAACACATACCAATTTTCATCAAGATATCTCAAACTTTGTTACAGTTTGTACGAACGGTCGTACAGACAGACAGTCACCCGGATTTCAACTTTACTCGTCATCCGGATCATTTATATATATATATGTAATTCTATATATATCCCTATATCTATTAGTTTTAAGTGATACGTACAACCGTCAGGTGAATAAAACTATAATACTTTGTAGCAACTTTTTGCAAAGGTATAAAAAGAGGCCGAAATTATGGTCGGACAACTCTTATTKTTTTCGCCACGATAATGCACCGTCCAACAACAACTGTTAAAGGCGCTAAGTATGGAATATGTGCTCCAGTACTTAGTTATAATTGACTTTTTACGACAAATATAGGTAAATGTCTTTGATATATAATTGATCATCACGGATAATCTTTTCCTGATAATGGAATATCTGTTTCTCAAAAATGGTTTGAATAGTGTTAATATTTTCTTAGCTCCCATTGTACCTTTCACAACGATTTTCGAACATCCTGACTTTAAAACGCATATATCGCCTTAGATGTGAGTTATGTCAATGGAAATAGTAGATAATGTTTTATTGATAGCAGTATATCTTTGTACATAAAAAGGCCACCGTATAATAAAGATATATCATTCGGGTGGCTTAACTAATATGAATGGGAACAGTACATTTGTGAGGTACCTTAATGAATCTCAAGGAACATTTGATTAATATGTGGCATATTCATGTATGTAGTATTGAGAAAATTAGATAAAATCGGGTCGATACTACCTACAACTCCAGCATACTATAAATGTATAATTTTTGTTTGTTTTTTAGCGAAGCTTTTGTTGAATATGTCGGTCAGTSTATGAATTATATATGTATATAATTGCCTGGATTTCGATCATCTKKGTGACGTTTTGCACCATAAGGTATTTCGTTGGCTTTGCAAGCCCTTTCTTGCTTGTTATGATAAATTTCTTACATTTTGATGATTTTGCAAGATTTTCGATCGATTTAGATCACTGTTTWAGTAATCACTGAAAAACAACATTTTCATTGGTTGAAATTAAAAAAAACAAGTAAGGAAGGGCTAAGTTCGGGTGTCACCGAACATTTTATACTCTCGCATGATAAAGTGATAATC